AAGGAGCGGAAGGACTAATCTTATTGTCCGGATTCGCGGGAGAATCCGGAGCAGTTAAAGGGTCGACCTTAGTCAAAAATGCGCTGAGAGCGCCACCGGGCTGAGTAATGCCATTACCAGTATAATTAACTGGAGACTGATTCGCCTGATAGGCAGACGCGGCGGAGGAAGTATTGGACAGAGAATCACCAACACCAATATTGCCAAGCAAATAATTTGCGGGCATGAAAACAACTCCTTTCATATGCACGCACGCGCGCACGCGCGCGTTATAAAAAATGGGTCGCGCGCGCGCACGCACGCACGCATATGTATACTTTGCGCAAATGGGCAAAGTAGATCAACCAAGGATCCAGACAACGAAACCGTCAAACTGTACAAAAAAACGGCGGAATATATTCCCAATCCTTTGGTGCAAAATGCCCGGCAGGGGCGCCGGGCATAATGAAAACAAAAGAAAAATCAATTATGGTCGATGAGACCGGGCACGGAATACATGGGCATAGGTCGCGTATAGATGGACTTGAAGTAGAAATCAAAAAGAAACTGATTACTTACAGCAGAAGTAACAGCAAGTACGCGATCTACGTTCGTCTTATCTTCTTGCATCCATCCAGCGCTCAAAGTGGGAGGCTCAGTGTAGTAGTCACCAAGGTGCCAAGAGGCGAGAGAATTCGGAATACCAGGCTTCATCTCGGCAGAGTAACGATTGGGCTTGTACCTGTAGTCCGCCCAAGCTTCTTGGAAGCCAAAAGCTACATCAGAAGTAATATTTGCAGAAGTTGCATGAACCTCGCATTGCTTTAAGGGTTGTTCTCCGATGTTAGCAAACACGGGATTATAAAATTCAAAAAGTTTATGCCGAGTCCAAAAGCGTTCAAGACCTCCATACGTGTGATCATATCGCACAACAGCAAGGACATACAGATAACCGGGTTCGGTGAAAGACTTGCTAATGACATCGGATACATCAGATGTGACGCTCATTGCACCGACATCGCCGAGGAAATCTGTATCAGTCTGGGCATTATTGGAAACCTGCTGAACATTAAGCGGAATACGAGTACCGCCGAGATACTCGGGGCGCTGAATGGAGGCGTCAGGGGAAACGACGCCCCATTGACCAAGAAGGATTTCCGGGAATCTGGAACCGGACAAAGCCAGTTTTTCAAAATATTTCTGCATCTGGAACGCAAGTCGAAGATCATTGACCGTCACAGAACCAACAGAACCAACAGCATGCAGGTTATTCGGATTAACGAAATCATAAGAAGCACCGGAGGTAACAGTGGGAGCAGTATTACCAAGATGGAACAAGGCATACTCAGCAGGATTAACGGTAGTAGATGCAGGAACCTCGCTAGAAGAAGTTACAACTTTGCCAATCTGAGTATCAGTCTTGCAAAGACGACCAAGATAAAAAGAAGGACCTTGATTGCTCAAAGTGTGATAACTAGCCTTCGGATCAGAACCAATAGCAAAATTATCTCCAGCATGTACCTCAAGATCAAAATTGCCGAGGGCAAGAGAAACGGGGTTACCTCTCTGCGCGGAGGGCAAACTGGATGTAAAATAGTCGTGAAATTTGTTAGCGATGAAAGGCATGCCACCATTAGCCACATCCGTCACATAATCAGTACCATTACTACCTGTCTGATTCGCGTCTCCAAGGGGGATGTTCATAGGGTCTTGGACATTCTGATCTCTAAACCATTGATCGCAGATAATCGCATAACCGCGCAGCGGAAGAGCAGAGGGGGCATTATCAGCATCAGCAGACCAAGTGATACCAGTTGGGATACCCATATAATCAGCTATAGAACCTACAGCAAAACCACCATCAGGGGAGGCAATAGTAGGAATCTTATATTCAGTAGTGGGTACCCATGCAGACTGATTATTTTCTCCGAAAAAATCACGGAAATGATTCCACGTCAAACGAGACGGAACGAAAAAAGCATAGGTGTCCAAGTAGCAGGTATCGTAAATTGGTGCCAAAAGAGTTTGAGCACGAACCACGGAGGAAATAGTCATATTGACAGAGTCACCGGGAAGAATCTCGTCAACATAGATGGGAATAAGCTGACCAGCATTGCCGGTTGTAATGTGCCGACAGGATCGGTCAAACATGGAACGACCAATATGTACCTCTGGCATACGGGAAAAATGGGATTCAACGTTTCTATTCAATATCATTCACATCCTTACCAAAAAAAATGTCATGGCAATGGTGCCAAAAATCATGCAAAGCATTGACAAAATCAGTTATCATAACGATACAAAACCTCACCTTGAAGGAAACCAAAAGAAAACTCACGAACATCATCCAACCATGTAATTTCAGACAAATAATGTCTAAAATCATCCGGAGAAAGAAAATAACATTCTTCAATTTCACCATCTTCCATAACAAAAGATGCACGATAAAGAGTATCAACAACCATATGTGACATAATAAAAACTCCTTGAATTAAAAATTGCAAGTCCACAAAACGCGGACAAAAACGGCAAAAGTTTGCAAGAAAAATTTCAAAAAACAGGGGTAATGCAATTACCTTATCTCATTTTTCTTCCGAAATTGGGGCTACCTGAGCCTGAGAGGGGATATCAGATTTTACACCCATGGCGGAAAGCCAAGAGTCAGAACCAGCGGAGGCAATCCACTTTTTCCAATCCTGATTGAACTTATCACGCACTTCAAGAGGCAACTGACCGAAAGAACGCTCGGCATTCAGAACCATGTTCAGGGCTTCAATGTTATTCTTGGGTAACTGAGTGAAGTCACCATACATGGGCTGACCCGGATGAAGAACGGAAGAATCACCAGCTTCAAGACGAGAAATAATGTAAGACATATCGGTAAGAGGCACTTCGGCATTTATCATCTCCTGTATATCCTGTTTACCAGTTACAACAAGAGAAATAGTGCCATCGTCATTAATGCGAGGGGAGCGGATATCATGGAAACGGGAACCGGGTTCAGAAACGAAAAGATTAGGGTCACTAAACCTGCTATGAGCATTGCGCAAAACACATCAAGCCTTTCCATACATAGAAATAGCGTCAAGAGCAGAGCAAACAAATATAGGGACGGAATTAACATCCAAAACGCACTTGTCAACGTCAAAAGACCCGACTTCATAAAGATCATAGTCCTGAGGGGCAAAACCAATCTCGCTCTGAGGAAGAGCAAGGCGGAACGCAAAACTTCTAATAGCAGTCTGCTCATTCAACTGGCACTGAGGTGCTTCCCAACTCGCTTTCTTGTCACGAATAGAGTACATAGGGTACTTCATAAAAATCTCCTTTCAGATTACAGCCGAGTACCGCCTCGAAACGGTACAGGCTTTACATTAAGAACTTTTGTAGAGGACGCAGTCTTAGTAAAATACTGCGCATCTTTACCGGGGGATACAGTAGTACGATTCATAAAAATCTCCTTTCAGGTGAATCACGTGCGCGTGAGTTCATTGTCATAACTCCTTATCTAAATTACGGACAAGAGACTTTGTCCGAGAAACCAAACTATCCTCTTTCATAGCCATATACTCAATGTAATCTAATTCAGTATCGGCAAGAGTCAAAGCAATTCGGTCTTTGGCAATCTGCCGACGCTCTTCACGTAATTGACGCATCTTCTCATCGGTAAGAATGGCATGGTCGAGAATGAATTTAGGAACAGGAAAAGTCTCAACTCCATTAAGACCATTATAAAGGGAAATCGTGGAAAAATCAATACACTCCGGATGATCTTGATAAAAAAATCCTCCAATGCCGGGACGACGAGACATCAAAGAAAACTCCGGCTCAATGTCTCCAAGATCATAATACAGGGACTTATCATCACCATACTGCTTTTTCTGGATGTAACGGGCAACATATGCAAAAGTACGATAGTTGGTATCGGAAATGGTAACAAAACCTTTTTTCCAAACATCAGCCAAAAAATCGGAAGTATACCAAAAATACATATCATCTTTAAGCTTACGCTCACCAACAAGCCGACGATCCGGGAAATCATCAAGAGACAAACCGAAAATTATAAGGTGCATGTGAGGACGGAAGGTCTTGCTTCCATACTCGCCCGAACCGAAGAACCTGAGCAAACGACCATCAAAACGGCTACGTCCTCTAAGATCTTTCATAAACCTCGACATATCTTTTTTACAAAGAGTCAAACCAACAACATCATCATCATTCGAGGCATAAATAACATGATCATCGTCATATGTCAACGTAACAAACACAGCAGTCTTCATGTGATCCAGCTCAAGCAACATACGATCTGTCCAATGCCGGGCATAATCAAGACGACAACCTGCACACTTTTTACAGGGTATCAAGATAGCACGAGGATCATCACGAACCGACTTTTCAAGATGCTCATAAGAACCAGCAAAACGCATGAAGTTATTTCCGGTAAGAGGGTTTACTTCACCTGAATCAATCATTACATTTGGATGAAAACAAGACATAAAAACAATCTCCTTTTTTAATTATAACAAGCTGACACACAACAGGGTGTCAGTGGGGGCAATATAATCGAGTAGATATTGCCCCCACTTCCTCCCGTTGTCGGAAGCTTTTCAAAATAGACGGCTCAAAGACAGAGCCGTGCGCGCAACATTGGAAATTGTGCGCGTGACAAGATTGACTTTACTCCAATCAATCTTACCAGAAGAAGAACGACCTCCGGAAGAACCACCGGAAGAACCACCGGAGGAAATCGGAACACCGGTAAAGGAATCCGCGCCGTTTACCTTGCCCATAGCAAGAACGGGATTCAGCCCGGCGCGCTTAAGATCGGCAACGGCTCGCTGATACTGGCTATTGCTCAATGCTTCCTGATAAGCGGTCGCTCTGTCCATCTTGTAATACTTCGCATAATCCGCATCAAGATAATCAAGCTCAACCTTGCGAGACTTGGCGGAACCGCCACGATAAGAAGGAGCGGAAGGACTAATCTTATTGTCCGGATTCGCGGGAGAATCCGGAGCAGTTAAAGGGTCGACCTTAGTCAAAAATGCGCTGAGAGCGCCACCGGGCTGAGTAATGCCATTACCAGTATAATTAACTGGAGACTGATTCGCCTGATAGGCAGACGCGGCGGAGGAAGTATTGGACAGAGAATCACCAACACCAATATTGCCAAGCAAATAATTTGCGGGCATGAAAACAACTCCTTTCATATGCACGCACGCGCGCACGCGCGCGTTATAAAAAATGGGTCGCGCGCGCGCACGCACGCACGCATATGTATACTTTGCGCAAATGGGCAAAGTAGATCAACCAAGGATCCAGACAACGAAACCGTCAAACTGTACAAAAAAACGGCGGAATATATTCCCAATCCTTTGGTGCAAAATGCCCGGCAGGGGCGCCGGGCATAATGAAAACAAAAGAAAAATCAATTATGGTCGATGAGACCGGGCACGGAATACATGGGCATAGGTCGCGTATAGATGGACTTGAAGTAGAAATCAAAAAGAAACTGATTACTTACAGCAGAAGTAACAGCAAGTACGCGATCTACGTTCGTCTTATCTTCTTGCATCCATCCAGCGCTCAAAGTGGGAGGCTCAGTGTAGTAGTCACCAAGGTGCCAAGAGGCGAGAGAATTCGGAATACCAGGCTTCATCTCGGCAGAGTAACGATTGGGCTTGTACCTGTAGTCCGCCCAAGCTTCTTGGAAGCCAAAAGCTACATCAGAAGTAATATTTGCAGAAGTTGCATGAACCTCGCATTGCTTTAAGGGTTGTTCTCCGATGTTAGCAAACACGGGATTATAAAATTCAAAAAGTTTATGCCGAGTCCAAAAGCGTTCAAGACCTCCATACGTGTGATCATATCGCACAACAGCAAGGACATACAGATAACCGGGTTCGGTGAAAGACTTGCTAATGACATCGGATACATCAGATGTGACGCTCATTGCACCGACATCGCCGAGGAAATCTGTATCAGTCTGGGCATTATTGGAAACCTGCTGAACATTAAGCGGAATACGAGTACCGCCGAGATACTCGGGGCGCTGAATGGAGGCGTCAGGGGAAACGACGCCCCATTGACCAAGAAGGATTTCCGGGAATCTGGAACCGGACAAAGCCAGTTTTTCAAAATATTTCTGCATCTGGAACGCAAGTCGAAGATCATTGACCGTCACAGAACCAACAGAACCAACAGCATGCAGGTTATTCGGATTAACGAAATCATAAGAAGCACCGGAGGTAACAGTGGGAGCAGTATTACCAAGATGGAACAAGGCATACTCAGCAGGATTAACGGTAGTAGATGCAGGAACCTCGCTAGAAGAAGTTACAACTTTGCCAATCTGAGTATCAGTCTTGCAAAGACGACCAAGATAAAAAGAAGGACCTTGATTGCTCAAAGTGTGATAACTAGCCTTCGGATCAGAACCAATAGCAAAATTATCTCCAGCATGTACCTCAAGATCAAAATTGCCGAGGGCAAGAGAAACGGGGTTACCTCTCTGCGCGGAGGGCAAACTGGATGTAAAATAGTCGTGAAATTTGTTAGCGATGAAAGGCATGCCACCATTAGCCACATCCGTCACATAATCAGTACCATTACTACCTGTCTGATTCGCGTCTCCAAGGGGGATGTTCATAGGGTCTTGGACATTCTGATCTCTAAACCATTGATCGCAGATAATCGCATAACCGCGCAGCGGAAGAGCAGAGGGGGCATTATCAGCATCAGCAGACCAAGTGATACCAGTTGGGATACCCATATAATCAGCTATAGAACCTACAGCAAAACCACCATCAGGGGAGGCAATAGTAGGAATCTTATATTCAGTAGTGGGTACCCATGCAGACTGATTATTTTCTCCGAAAAAATCACGGAAATGATTCCACGTCAAACGAGACGGAACGAAAAAAGCATAGGTGTCCAAGTAGCAGGTATCGTAAATTGGTGCCAAAAGAGTTTGAGCACGAACCACGGAGGAAATAGTCATATTGACAGAGTCACCGGGAAGAATCTCGTCAACATAGATGGGAATAAGCTGACCAGCATTGCCGGTTGTAATGTGCCGACAGGATCGGTCAAACATGGAACGACCAATATGTACCTCTGGCATACGGGAAAAATGGGATTCAACGTTTCTATTCAATATCATTCACATCCTTACCAAAAAAAATGTCATGGCAATGGTGCCAAAAATCATGCAAAGCATTGACAAAATCAGTTATCATAACGATACAAAACCTCACCTTGAAGGAAACCAAAAGAAAACTCACGAACATCATCCAACCATGTAATTTCAGACAAATAATGTCTAAAATCATCCGGAGAAAGAAAATAACATTCTTCAATTTCACCATCTTCCATAACAAAAGATGCACGATAAAGAGTATCAACAACCATATGTGACATAATAAAAACTCCTTGAATTAAAAATTGCAAGTCCACAAAACGCGGACAAAAACGGCAAAAGTTTGCAAGAAAAATTTCAAAAAACAGGGGTAATGCAATTACCTTATCTCATTTTTCTTCCGAAATTGGGGCTACCTGAGCCTGAGAGGGGATATCAGATTTTACACCCATGGCGGAAAGCCAAGAGTCAGAACCAGCGGAGGCAATCCACTTTTTCCAATCCTGATTGAACTTATCACGCACTTCAAGAGGCAACTGACCGAAAGAACGCTCGGCATTCAGAACCATGTTCAGGGCTTCAATGTTATTCTTGGGTAACTGAGTGAAGTCACCATACATGGGCTGACCCGGATGAAGAACGGAAGAATCACCAGCTTCAAGACGAGAAATAATGTAAGACATATCGGTAAGAGGCACTTCGGCATTTATCATCTCCTGTATATCCTGTTTACCAGTTACAACAAGAGAAATAGTGCCATCGTCATTAATGCGAGGGGAGCGGATATCATGGAAACGGGAACCGGGTTCAGAAACGAAAAGATTAGGGTCACTAAACCTGCTATGAGCATTGCGCAAAACACATCAAGCCTTTCCATACATAGAAATAGCGTCAAGAGCAGAGCAAACAAATATAGGGACGGAATTAACATCCAAAACGCACTTGTCAACGTCAAAAGACCCGACTTCATAAAGATCATAGTCCTGAGGGGCAAAACCAATCTCGCTCTGAGGAAGAGCAAGGCGGAACGCAAAACTTCTAATAGCAGTCTGCTCATTCAACTGGCACTGAGGTGCTTCCCAACTCGCTTTCTTGTCACGAATAGAGTACATAGGGTACTTCATAAAAATCTCCTTTCAGATTACAGCCGAGTACCGCCTCGAAACGGTACAGGCTTTACATTAAGAACTTTTGTAGAGGACGCAGTCTTAGTAAAATACTGCGCATCTTTACCGGGGGATACAGTAGTACGATTCATAAAAATCTCCTTTCAGGTGAATCACGTGCGCGTGAGTTCATTGTCATAACTCCTTATCTAAATTACGGACAAGAGACTTTGTCCGAGAAACCAAACTATCCTCTTTCATAGCCATATACTCAATGTAATCTAATTCAGTATCGGCAAGAGTCAAAGCAATTCGGTCTTTGGCAATCTGCCGACGCTCTTCACGTAATTGACGCATCTTCTCATCGGTAAGAATGGCATGGTCGAGAATGAATTTAGGAACAGGAAAAGTCTCAACTCCATTAAGACCATTATAAAGGGAAATCGTGGAAAAATCAATACACTCCGGATGATCTTGATAAAAAAATCCTCCAATGCCGGGACGACGAGACATCAAAGAAAACTCCGGCTCAATGTCTCCAAGATCATAATACAGGGACTTATCATCACCATACTGCTTTTTCTGGATGTAACGGGCAACATATGCAAAAGTACGATAGTTGGTATCGGAAATGGTAACAAAACCTTTTTTCCAAACATCAGCCAAAAAATCGGAAGTATACCAAAAATACATATCATCTTTAAGCTTACGCTCACCAACAAGCCGACGATCCGGGAAATCATCAAGAGACAAACCGAAAATTATAAGGTGCATGTGAGGACGGAAGGTCTTGCTTCCATACTCGCCCGAACCGAAGAACCTGAGCAAACGACCATCAAAACGGCTACGTCCTCTAAGATCTTTCATAAACCTCGACATATCTTTTTTACAAAGAGTCAAACCAACAACATCATCATCATTCGAGGCATAAATAACATGATCATCGTCATATGTCAACGTAACAAACACAGCAGTCTTCATGTGATCCAGCTCAAGCAACATACGATCTGTCCAATGCCGGGCATAATCAAGACGACAACCTGCACACTTTTTACAGGGTATCAAGATAGCACGAGGATCATCACGAACCGACTTTTCAAGATGCTCATAAGAACCAGCAAAACGCATGAAGTTATTTCCGGTAAGAGGGTTTACTTCACCTGAATCAATCATTACATTTGGATGAAAACAAGACATAAAAACAATCTCCTTTTTTAATTATAACAAGCTGACACACAACAGGGTGTCAGTGGGGGCAATATAATCGAGTAGATATTGCCCCCACTTCCTCCCGTTGTCGGAAGCTTTTCAAAATAGACGGCTCAAAGACAGAGCCGTGCGCGCAACATTGGAAATTGTGCGCGTGACAAGATTGACTTTACTCCAATCAATCTTACCAGAAGAAGAACGACCTCCGGAAGAACCACCGGAAGAACCACCGGAGGAAATCGGAACACCGGTAAAGGAATCCGCGCCGTTTACCTTGCCCATAGCAAGAACGGGATTCAGCCCGGCGCGCTTAAGATCGGCAACGGCTCGCTGATACTGGCTATTGCTCAATGCTTCCTGATAAGCGGTCGCTCTGTCCATCTTGTAATACTTCGCATAATCCGCATCAAGATAATCAAGCTCAACCTTGCGAGACTTGGCGGAACCGCCACGATAAGAAGGAGCGGAAGGACTAATCTTATTGTCCGGATTCGCGGGAGAATCCGGAGCAGTTAAAGGGTCGACCTTAGTCAAAAATGCGCTGAGAGCGCCACCGGGCTGAGTAATGCCATTACCAGTATAATTAACTGGAGACTGATTCGCCTGATAGGCAGACGCGGCGGAGGAAGTATTGGACAGAGAATCACCAACACCAATATTGCCAAGCAAATAATTTGCGGGCATGAAAACAACTCCTTTCATATGCACGCACGCGCGCACGCGCGCGTTATAAAAAATGGGTCGCGCGCGCGCACGCACGCACGCATATGTATACTTTGCGCAAATGGGCAAAGTAGATCAACCAAGGATCCAGACAACGAAACCGTCAAACTGTACAAAAAAACGGCGGAATATATTCCCAATCCTTTGGTGCAAAATGCCCGGCAGGGGCGCCGGGCATAATGAAAACAAAAGAAAAATCAATTATGGTCGATGAGACCGGGCACGGAATACATGGGCATAGGTCGCGTATAGATGGACTTGAAGTAGAAATCAAAAAGAAACTGATTACTTACAGCAGAAGTAACAGCAAGTACGCGATCTACGTTCGTCTTATCTTCTTGCATCCATCCAGCGCTCAAAGTGGGAGGCTCAGTGTAGTAGTCACCAAGGTGCCAAGAGGCGAGAGAATTCGGAATACCAGGCTTCATCTCGGCAGAGTAACGATTGGGCTTGTACCTGTAGTCCGCCCAAGCTTCTTGGAAGCCAAAAGCTACATCAGAAGTAATATTTGCAGAAGTTGCATGAACCTCGCATTGCTTTAAGGGTTGTTCTCCGATGTTAGCAAACACGGGATTATAAAATTCAAAAAGTTTATGCCGAGTCCAAAAGCGTTCAAGACCTCCATACGTGTGATCATATCGCACAACAGCAAGGACATACAGATAACCGGGTTCGGTGAAAGACTTGCTAATGACATCGGATACATCAGATGTGACGCTCATTGCACCGACATCGCCGAGGAAATCTGTATCAGTCTGGGCATTATTGGAAACCTGCTGAACATTAAGCGGAATACGAGTACCGCCGAGATACTCGGGGCGCTGAATGGAGGCGTCAGGGGAAACGACGCCCCATTGACCAAGAAGGATTTCCGGGAATCTGGAACCGGACAAAGCCAGTTTTTCAAAATATTTCTGCATCTGGAACGCAAGTCGAAGATCATTGACCGTCACAGAACCAACAGAACCAACAGCATGCAGGTTATTCGGATTAACGAAATCATAAGAAGCACCGGAGGTAACAGTGGGAGCAGTATTACCAAGATGGAACAAGGCATACTCAGCAGGATTAACGGTAGTAGATGCAGGAACCTCGCTAGAAGAAGTTACAACTTTGCCAATCTGAGTATCAGTCTTGCAAAGACGACCAAGATAAAAAGAAGGACCTTGATTGCTCAAAGTGTGATAACTAGCCTTCGGATCAGAACCAATAGCAAAATTATCTCCAGCATGTACCTCAAGATCAAAATTGCCGAGGGCAAGAGAAACGGGGTTACCTCTCTGCGCGGAGGGCAAACTGGATGTAAAATAGTCGTGAAATTTGTTAGCGATGAAAGGCATGCCACCATTAGCCACATCCGTCACATAATCAGTACCATTACTACCTGTCTGATTCGCGTCTCCAAGGGGGATGTTCATAGGGTCTTGGACATTCTGATCTCTAAACCATTGATCGCAGATAATCGCATAACCGCGCAGCGGAAGAGCAGAGGGGGCATTATCAGCATCAGCAGACCAAGTGATACCAGTTGGGATACCCATATAATCAGCTATAGAACCTACAGCAAAACCACCATCAGGGGAGGCAATAGTAGGAATCTTATATTCAGTAGTGGGTACCCATGCAGACTGATTATTTTCTCCGAAAAAATCACGGAAATGATTCCACGTCAAACGAGACGGAACGAAAAAAGCATAGGTGTCCAAGTAGCAGGTATCGTAAATTGGTGCCAAAAGAGTTTGAGCACGAACCACGGAGGAAATAGTCATATTGACAGAGTCACCGGGAAGAATCTCGTCAACATAGATGGGAATAAGCTGACCAGCATTGCCGGTTGTAATGTGCCGACAGGATCGGTCAAACATGGAACGACCAATATGTACCTCTGGCATACGGGAAAAATGGGATTCAACGTTTCTATTCAATATCATTCACATCCTTACCAAAAAAAATGTCATGGCAATGGTGCCAAAAATCATGCAAAGCATTGACAAAATCAGTTATCATAACGATACAAAACCTCACCTTGAAGGAAACCAAAAGAAAACTCACGAACATCATCCAACCATGTAATTTCAGACAAATAATGTCTAAAATCATCCGGAGAAAGAAAATAACATTCTTCAATTTCACCATCTTCCATAACAAAAGATGCACGATAAAGAGTATCAACAACCATATGTGACATAATAAAAACTCCTTGAATTAAAAATTGCAAGTCCACAAAACGCGGACAAAAACGGCAAAAGTTTGCAAGAAAAATTTCAAAAAACAGGGGTAATGCAATTACCTTATCTCATTTTTCTTCCGAAATTGGGGCTACCTGAGCCTGAGAGGGGATATCAGATTTTACACCCATGGCGGAAAGCCAAGAGTCAGAACCAGCGGAGGCAATCCACTTTTTCCAATCCTGATTGAACTTATCACGCACTTCAAGAGGCAACTGACCGAAAGAACGCTCGGCATTCAGAACCATGTTCAGGGCTTCAATGTTATTCTTGGGTAACTGAGTGAAGTCACCATACATGGGCTGACCCGGATGAAGAACGGAAGAATCACCAGCTTCAAGACGAGAAATAATGTAAGACATATCGGTAAGAGGCACTTCGGCATTTATCATCTCCTGTATATCCTGTTTACCAGTTACAACAAGAGAAATAGTGCCATCGTCATTAATGCGAGGGGAGCGGATATCATGGAAACGGGAACCGGGTTCAGAAACGAAAAGATTAGGGTCACTAAACCTGCTATGAGCATTGCGCAAAACACATCAAGCCTTTCCATACATAGAAATAGCGTCAAGAGCAGAGCAAACAAATATAGGGACGGAATTAACATCCAAAACGCACTTGTCAACGTCAAAAGACCCGACTTCATAAAGATCATAGTCCTGAGGGGCAAAACCAATCTCGCTCTGAGGAAGAGCAAGGCGGAACGCAAAACTTCTAATAGCAGTCTGCTCATTCAACTGGCACTGAGGTGCTTCCCAACTCGCTTTCTTGTCACGAATAGAGTACATAGGGTACTTCATAAAAATCTCCTTTCAGATTACAGCCGAGTACCGCCTCGAAACG